GTTGCTTAAAAATTGAATATCTCTGTCTGGATATGAGTTTTTGTTCGATCTAAGTACTTCTAATAAATTTTCTATTTTAAGATGATAATATTCAAACATATTTTACAAATATCAAACTTTGTTTATAAGATATTTTCAAAAAGTGAGAATATATACATTATTTTATTTCGATTGTATTGCTACAATATGTAGATCAAATTTATTAATATTCTTTAAGACTACTAGTAGATTGTTAAGATGGATACATATGTTATATTTCAAAGACCAAATGTTTCTGATATGGTATGTATTTTTGCTTTACAGAAAAGCCTTGATTTCAATGGAAGATAATTATAATTTCTAGTCTAATCAATCAGTAGTAGACAAAGAAAAACCATGTCAAAGAATTTGATGTATAAATAGTGAGCAGTTAAATTAATAGAAATCAATATTGACAGTACAGAAAATAGATCAAATTAAATACAAGTAACATCACTAACATTGACGAGATATTGAAAATAAAGAATCAACTAAATACGTTTTTTTTCTCGTTGATAAATAAAACTGATATAAAGATCTATTCGAACTTCAGAAGTCTAATAATGATTGAAGTCTTATTCAAAATGAATGTTAGTTCTTAGACCTATCCAACTAAGTTACGAACTGAATCAATCGAAATGAAGGAACTTCACAAATACTGGTGCAAGAGATAGATTTTTATAGAATGCATATGGACAAGTGAAAAGAAATTTATATTCATGAACAGTTAGAATTTACTGCAAATAGATGCCTTCAAATTTGAATTCTTATCATCTGTGAAGGTATAAGACTTATAATAAGATTAACAATCGACTAATATTGTAGATTTCATAAATGCATCCGATCAAATATGACCTTCAAATTAGACATGGTACTAAATTTATTTAAAAGATATCTTATCAAGAAATTCAAATAGAATAAAGATGATACGACAATTAGCAAGCTGTATCTAATAAAATTTTTCTGAATGAATAATACATTCTCCACAAAACTATGATGAATTTTCTTTTTCATAAAGGTACTATCACAATAGTTGACTTTATGTTAAAATATGAAGAAGGAAGAATGAAAGAAAAGAAAAAAAAGCAAGGTTAATTCATATATTTTGTTTGAATCTATCAAAAAAGAAAACAAGAAGAAGAAAGAAGGAAGTAATATGTATATTCAAGTACTAAACGACTTTGTAAAATATTATATCTTCACGATGAATAATATTGCTCTTTTTCTTTCATTCTATTCGTGTCCAATTAAATGTTACTATTTATGTTTCTCAAGCTTACCTGTACTGTTAAAATCGATACTGAAGAATGTTACTAGTAAAAAAAAACAAAGTAAAAGCACTGCTATATTATAATGCTTTTTGAATATCCAAATGAAATTTTTCGAAAATCAGAAATTTGGATTTTTATCTTCAGCTCAGTATTTAGGGTTGAAATTAAAACTAAAATACGTTAGAAGATCAATACTGAAACCTCACGTTTTTTTTACGTTCATCCTACTTCATGATACGTAGACTTTTTTTTTTCTTCCTCTCTTACTAAAAAAACAACACATGACAGTCGACTATTTTTATGTATCACATGATAGAGTAGTATATTGCCTATGAGGACAAAATGACTCTTCTATTATTATATTTGCTAGAAAGAGAAATTTAAAAATTTGTCTACATAACTATTGAAAAAAAAGAAATAAAAAATAAGTAAAAAACAACTAGTAAAGTTCCTAGATAATAGAAACCAATGTGAATCATATATATGATTGTTGTCTCACTTAATGGCTTCTATTAATATTCTAAATAAGAAGATTCTAGAGGATATTGCAAATTTCTTGAATGAGTAGTTCAATGTGATACTTATATATTTAGACTCATTCAATTTGTTTAATATTCATGAAGAGTAAATACATCATTATTCTAAACAAAAAAAAATTTGTTTGTCAGTACTTTTTCTCTTTGATATCAAGAATATTCTACAGAGCCTAGACTTGTCAGTATTAACTTTATCTTCGTAGATACTGTTGTTCTGACTTATGTTATACTGTTTATTTGTTGTTTAATTTGTACTAACTTTGTTTAATACAAATTAATGTTTTCAAAATATGCGGGATTATAATGAACTATTTTTATGTAGGAGAAGATTGTGACGTTAATATAGAGGAGAAGAAACATATCAAACAAATTTTGCTTAAAAGAAATATAATTTTTTTATGTTATTTTATGATTTCAACTAGACTCATCGGGCATCTTCCTCATTTAATGGAGAAAAAGATGAAAAAAAAATCAGTCTTTCTCTGTGAACACGTTTCACGACTTCAGTTTTTTCGAAGACAACAGTAAGTCTATTGTATTATTTGGAAACTTTATCTTAATAGATAAAAAGACTGAAGCTCAGCACTTATTAGAAAAAATAAGTAAAGCATCTGTTAAAAAGCAATGTAAATATTTTCTACTCATCCTGATGGTAATGACAATCAACATTATAAATACCCAGGTGAATGAATAATTCGCAGTTTCAATATGTCATACATTCCAATATAGAAAAAAATATACTGGGTAGATTTTGTTTACGAATAATAGAAATAATAATCGTTAGAAAAAATATATCGCAAATAAACGAGGTCTCAAAAAAAATTCAAACACAAACAATGTCAAATAAAATAGAATGTAGAATATCGAAATTTTAAAAGATATTATCTAAATCTATTGTCAATAGTCTAATATCATGTACATATTCCTATCAATCAATAATTTCTAATGTATTCCTATGTATTACAATAAGATGCACACCATGACATTCACAAATTTTGTTTAATCTTGAGATTTTATCAATATCTAATAAATGAATGTGTAGTATATAGTAATGAATAATCTATAAATTTATTTTATTGTAATATGGAAATTTTCGATCATTTTCAATCAAATAACAAGACAAATCTCAAGATTAAACAAAATAAATTTGTTTAAATTTTTTCGTGACATAAAATTTCAGTAGAATATAAAACCTCAGTGTTATTATTAAGGTATAAATAGTTGATGAATTATAAATTCTAGTATTGCATATGGTATCTGTATAACAAATAGATTTCAAAATTATACAATACTTACAATGTATACAAAATTTATATTAAGGTAAATAGGTCATGATGCATTTATAAAGAAACTATTTCTCTAATTTTTCTTGTTTGTTTTTATTGTAACACCATGAACTATCGTCATGTTATCTGGTTGAAAATGATCGAAAATTTCCATATTAAAATAAAATAAATATATACATTATTCAGTTAATTATTTATTTATTAGATCACATTCACATATTTACACATACTCTCAGCCAGAATTATATTGATTGTATGCTAACAATCTTCGAACAAATAAATAAATTGTTTTTATTTATATTTTTATCATTTCTGTGTTCTGTTGCATTAATATAATTTATTTATAAGTAAAGTATTAACGAATAAAAAAAACCATGTTGTTTGATTAATACATGAGAATTGTACACAGAATTTACTTGGAATTTATTCTGACTATGTTCTCTTCGAGATTTTTATTTTTTTCGATAATTCTTCATTTTTATTTTTATTTTTTCTCAGTTTGTTATCTCACGGCAGGAGTAGATGATTACATGGTGGCTTTCAGAGTCATGGTACTAAGCTAATTTAAGTAATCAATCTAATAGTATTTATCGTTATTTTTATATTTTCTTTTCATCTTTGTTGTGTATATTTGAGTCTTCATTCTCTAGAATGCTGTTTCTTTTCTTGCACATGGAGATTATTTGGGAAGCTCCGAATAATTTAATATTCATTTCTGTTGATTTTATTAAAAGAAAACAAGGGGAAAAAGTGAAACTTCATCTACTTCAATAAAAAAAAAGAATTTGAAGTACGATGAGGCATCAAGTGTCACTTATTCTCCGTTTGTTGTCTTTCTTTTTGTTTCTATAATTTGTATTGATTTAAAAATAATAAACAAGGTCATCAAGAAAATAAAAAGAATAGTACATAACGATTATGTTGGAAGTTCTCATATTTAGTAAAAGCTATAACTCCCAAACACTGAAGTTATGCAGTACTTCCTAGTTAAAATGAAACGTTTTAAAGAGTTTATTATTCTTAAATTCGAAAATGATGTATTTGAAAATGTTTTTAGAATCTCCAAAAACTTTTTATTCAAGTTCACATAGGACAACATATCTCTTATGTTATTCTGCTTTCTTTTGCTTCTATCGTGATGTTTCAGTTCTCTGTTTCTCTTGTATGTATTGTAGATATATGTAAATAGTTGAGATGTTTCAATAGTTATACAAGAGAAAGAACTAGAGATTGAAATCTTGATTAACTAGAGCGGAAAATCGTCTAATTATAACAAATCTTTGTTAAAGATTAGCACCTCTACACGAATTATAATTTTTCAAATATTATACAATAGAAGATAGAAATATCTGAAACTTTTACAATTACAATAAATTCAAATATTCTTTCTTCTCAATAATGAATTCTTTCATCTCGATGGGAGCACGACGATTGTGTGCAGACAATTGTGTGTATGGATAATTGTGTGCAAAATGAATGTTGTTTATGTATAAATAAATATTTTAGTCAAAAAAGTGAATGACAATGAACAAAATAAAGTAGACAAAATAACAAAAAAAATTCAAGAAAAACTAATCAATAAACAATTATAACATGAATGTATGAGCAATCGCTTTTACTTTCTGTGTATTATCATTTGTAGGATTATCTAAAATCCATAAAATTCTCGATGCTGTGTTTTGAGTTTTGATCCTCTTTGGTTTTGGTATGATACCTGTTACTAGTTGAGAAATTTCACCGTCTACGTACGCTTGCTCTGTTTGAAGGTTGTTTAAAAAACGCCAAAATCCAGGATGGGCTGAATCCACAATATTGTTAAGACGTCGATGCCATCCTTCAACGGCGTTGTTTGTGTGATCGAACTGGTTTCTTAAGATATTGTGTAAGTTTCAAAATGTGATAGGAAACATTGGAATTGTCCTTCGGTTGCGACTTCGAGATCTACCTATGTAATAATCTTCGAAATAATTGTAAAGTGGATCGAGATCTGGAATTTGTAGATCACCAATATCTTCAAATGTTGAACAAATATCATTGGTTTCCAAAAACGCTAATGCTGGAAGCATGCGGACGGTGTGTGCATATTCTTCATCGTTCCCATATTTAGTTGTAAAATCTGCTTGTTGAACTTGTCGATAAATGTTTTGTGTCAGGTGAAAGAAGCAAGCATGAACATTTGATTGAGGCCAACAGGAACGAATAGCATTCATTGCGCCTTTTTCGAAATCGATAAGAAATGAACTAGGATTGAATAATAGTCTTAATGAAATAACAGTATCATAAATTCTTTTATAATTTTCTTCGCTCTTACGTGACATAAGAATATAAGCCAATGGAATAATACTTCCTTGAACTGAACCGTGGATTGAGTACAATTGGTAAAAAAGTTCAGGGACGACCTTAAATGTGCCATCCATATACACGTCTGTAGATGATTGAAGAAGGTCAAGTTTTTGATTTGTCGCAAAAATTAAAAATCGATTCGAATCTTGGTTTCCTGAGTCGTATTGTAAAAATTGTTCTTTTTTCTTTGTGAGAGTAAATGAACCGGTTATTTGTATTTCTGACATTGATCGAGGATTTGCTGNAGTCTCTATGTGGGCCAGGTTTCAGATCAAAATTCAAAAATATAGCTTCGCTGCAAAAGTGGGGTGCTATAGAAAAAAAAACACTACAAACTCGATATCTCTTCAGAAACAAACCAGGGGGACGAACTTTTTTAACCATAGACATAGCTCACTATGGGCTACAAGATGCGCAAAACCCTGACTGAAAATCGCTCTGGCACCTGGGAAGGTTCCCTTGTAAGTCGAATGACTGAAGGATTTATTCGAATATTGAAAAGAGATAGAGAAAGATTGTCGATAAACGTCTTCATAATAGAAAAATCCTTGTAAACAACTAATAAATGAAGTTGAATCTAGAAAATGATACTTATAAAACGTATATTCGGTTGACACTTCCCCTAAACAAAATTAAATGCAACAGACGAGAGAAAACTTGCTACTTTGTATATTCAATCAACATGATTTTACGAAACAGATCAATCGATCTCGATTGACCGAGTTTGAATAATAATGATCAGCGAAAATTTATTTAGAAAGTAAATCTGGTGTTTATTGAGTAATTTTTTGGATCAAGTTGAAGAAGCACAAGAGTGAATAACATCTTAAAAGATATTTCAATGTTTGCGATTTATGTTTTATGTGTGATATGTAGTTCATATCGTGTACAGACTTTTATAAGGTAACCTATCAAAAGAGGTGTGTTTTGGTCGTGTTCTATTATAAGCGACACGTAGTGATGATGATAATGACTATTTAATTGACTCTCAATCAATAGAAAAACAAGGGACATGCAATAAAATGTTAATATTATAGATGCATGATATTTTGTCCACGGCTTATCATTCATAACTGCGTATGTTCTCGTATTTTCTTTTTCTTCAATTTCATATCATTTTCCGTTTACCTATTCTTCTACTTGCAATATAGTCGATAGTCATGTTCAAACTACTAACAGTAGATGATCAATGAATTTCACGCAAGTGAACTATTTTTTTCGAAGATCATGACATAACATTCGACACGTTTCTAACGACATTAAACAATTGGGACCGATTTCAAAAAGCGAAATTCTACATTGTTTTTTGTTCGTTCGAAGTTGATGATTACAATTCAGAACTGTACAATCAAACGTACCAACTAACCAAACAAGATTGTACTACATGTTAAAATCCAATCTCATTAAAAGAATATCAACGATGCTATGTAGGAGTATCTCCGCGTAATACTACATCTACTAATAATCTTCAAACTTACAATAACTATGTATTCGATCGGTCCATCTATTAGAAAATATTGGTTGAAAAAGTGAGCTCAAGATGTTTGAAAAAGAATGAGGCACATGATCTTTTGTAACCCTGAACCAGAGATGAATAAAAACCAATTCTAAATAGATGTTTTTTTTTCAAATACATCTGCAGTATTTCATAGAAATGTCTGATTTCATATTTGTTCAGAGAAATCTTATGTAGCTCATTTTTTTCTCTTGAATTCGTTCATATCGATTAACCTAAGTTTTTTAATCCATTATGTTGTACTGAAGTGGCCAATGGTTTTGCGATTGTGTTCTCTATCTCACAGTGGTTCAAATGATCTAATTTTCTTGGCATAATGGTGGGTACAATATTTTTTTCTGTATTCTCTCTGATAGGAGTACAAAGTCGATGTGTTTCTCTTAATTTTCATCTTACATATTATTCATATCAAGATATGGTCATAGATGGATTATGAATGTCTGCTTCATCATATTAACGATCAGTAGTGATGAACTATGCTTATATACAATTGGATTGCTTTGGTTGGCTGCTTTTGTCTACTTTATGAGTACTTGGAGAATGTTGTTATTGGTCTCGACTATAATTTTCATAATAACCTATATTTCGCTTGACAATAATCGAAAAACATATTGAATGTTAATTACATATTATTGCATTAGGATCTTGCCAAAAAAGTCTTCGATGGCTTGTAAGTAAAAGACAATACGACGAGGCTGATAAAATTGTCAAGAAAGCTACGTTGGTAAACAAAAGAAAACTCGATCAAAAAACATAGGCTAGGTTTATATGAGGAATGAAAGAACGATGAGTGATTGTAAGAAATATTGTGTTTAGAGAGTACGAAACGAATATTTATTATAGAACAAATATTTCAAATATCTTTCATTGTCAATATCTTTTACAGTGGTTAGTTTCTATGCACAAAACAATTCCTAAATTATCATTTCTATTTCTCACTAGATTTACTCAGAATCTTGTCTATTACGGTGTTTCAAAAAATGCAGGTAACTGCATTCATTTAGATCCTAATGAATACGATTGTCTATATGGTATCTATTCAACGATCATTGCAATATGATCCATATGCTTCGTTTTGTGTTAGTACATTGATAAAACTGTTCCATATTATACTCGATCGAGTTGAACGAAAATTAGCTTATTGCTTATGTGCTCTAGCATTCAATATGGTAACCGTGCTAATTATACATATTCACAGCTTTACGGAAGCATAACAACCAAGGGCGTATGGGAACATTTTATATTAACTTAGATTCTCATTTTAGCTCATCGAATTATTCTGTTGATGATTAATGTTTTTTGCAGGTTTTATCGTGCGATCACATATATATATGCTATTGTCTATCTACTTACCACTAAATTATTCTCGACAAATACACGTACAACTGAATTGAGATACTGTTTAATAGTTTGTCGTTTAAGAGCGATTATGGGAACATTCTGAAATGATTATTTAGCCAGTAAAATCATCTATGGCTTTTATATTCAATAAAAAAATGAATCAATCTTTGTTAGGTATGCCTTTTTAGTCAACCTTCCCACTATATTCCACGGAATGGTCTTATTCGTTGCAGTAGTTGTGACTTTATTATTTCCTAAAAAATTAAACAGATCATTGCCGCAAACGGTTGAAGAAGTTGATCACATGAGTCTATTTTTGGAAATGCAAATGTTCCAAACTTGTTTCTCTTGCTTTTTATCCTAGTAGGTGAATCAGTGATTGTTCAATCGAGTTCTCTATTTTAGTGAAATATTACGTCGTGACACATTGAATGCCATAGGAATGATGCATCTGCTGTACAAGAGCTAGTTGAGAATGTGGACGGTGTTAATGATATGGAAATGGGATCAACGCTAGAGATCAACAAAGAGAGACATCGATTCAATAGTATAGGTATACGACAGACTCCATAGATACGACTCTATTTTCTTTCTAGTGAATATATTCCGTGTAATGTTTATATTTATGAAAAAATTGCCTTTTTTCATACATTAATAATATCATGAAAGGCCTGCAAGTATAGATTAAATGAGAAACAAGAACTTACTATACAAATTATTTTCTAGCTACCGATGTATATATTTATGTTTAACAGTCAAAACGTGTTGAAGAGACATAATCCAATATTGCAAACAAAAATATACGGGTATAAAAAGATAATTTTTCTCTATTTCACCATTGATTCTCTCAATGTCGGTGCAATAATGCCATGTCAGTCAGTCAGTGAAATATCAGTTAAAGATAAAATCTATCACGCAAGTGTACTTTAACTTACTTTTACACTAATAGTACTATCTTGTTAGCTAAATTCTAGTCTTCATTCTACATCAGCGTTTTAGAATTGAATCAAACGTATCAAACATTTATTGAATTAAATGTTAGTAAGCTCCATACGTTATACTAGCAAACGCAGGTTTTAGCCGAGTGGAGTACTTGTGAAGAAGGAAAACGACAGAATTGTTGTCAAGTTAAAATCTGTTGAGGAAACAACTTTCAATTTTAACTATCATCATTTTGTTTTGCCGTCCACACAAGAACCAACATCGGAAAGTACAAATAGTGGCACCAAAAACATGCATATAAAACAGTAGTATAACATATAAGAGAAAAAAAGTAAGAAAAAATAAAGATTTTTACTTTTCTTAGAAGGTAGATCAAGGCCTTTCGCCTCTCCCTTAACCTCATCCCGTTTTTTTGGTACAGAATTGAGCTTGAGGAGCAGCACCACCACCTGATGCACTATAAAATCATAAGAGTAGTTCAGATTTAATTTACGGAAAGTTATGTATTGACTGGGCTTATTACTTACTTGTCATGACCATTGCAACGATATGTCTTTAGTCCGGATCATCCACTTGTTCCAAGAAATGTATAATTATTACATAAATCATCTGCATTGTAAGTATCCCATTGAGGAACTTCCAATTGTTTATGTCGTGGATATACCCAAAAATTATTGTCACGATTAGGATTGCCATGGTAAAATACTCCGGACGTAGATGTTGCTCTCTAAAAATTGACAAGGATTCTATATAGATATGTTTGCTGTTATGCGAAAATAATCTGAATGACACGAACGATTAAACAGATTCGCATTCATCAAATACCGATTCTTTTTGTGTTCATATTGTTTGAAAGAAATTTCATAAATAAAAATTCCAAAGTAGATTCAATATTTTTCTGAATAGATTTTTGATTTGAATTAGACTTCTATGGAATTTCTGAATGAACCTTTTTAAAACGCTTTACAAATCCTGCTAAAAAAAAAACAGAAGAATCGCTCTTTGGTCCTATGATTCGCTTCCTTGTGAATATTATGATGAAACCTTTCCTTTGATATTCGAAGAAACAACAATAAAGCACGGCGTTCCATCAAAAATAGTAAAAATAACTTTGTTCGCTCCTTACGATATTAATTTATGAAACATGACGAGGGTATCTTGGGCAAGTACACACTGACGAAAACGAAAGTTTTTATATTCGGAACTTCAAAAACGTATAAACTCTAAAAAATTCAAATTGGGAAAATCTGAAGTACGTGTCCAAAATTTGATAGTCGAAAACTAAAGAAATCAGAAAGTCATAAACAATTCGCTATCATCCATCAGCTACAGACCAAGTGACGAGGCAAAGATAACATCTCAAGGTCAGAGAAATGGATTATTTAATCTTGGAATTTGAAATTCAATCCAAATAAAATTGACAAATAAGGTGAGACAGACAATCGTTGAAAAGTATTAAAGAAGGACGTTTCTGGTTTGTATTAAAATTTGTAAACCGAAGTCTTTCAGTCTAGTGAAGATTTCATGCATAAGATCTATCCACAAAGAATATGACAAGCTAAGCAATGTTTGTGTAACTGTTGATCAATCAGCCACGAACACGAACGGCTTTGACACTCTTTGGGTCTCGTAGCATTCTACTTACGGTTCAATTTGAACTCGACAAGCAGAGATGAGTTCGGATAGCTCTCTCGTCAGTACACAAAAGAATTCATGTATACTCCGCAACTTTCTTTCCTAAACATATGCCTAGTCATTGAACGCAGCTCGAAAATAATCAAAACATGAGGCGTTAGCACGAATATACCATACCCTAAAATTAGAAAATTGATTCAGATTGTATTTTCGAGAAAGTTATGTATTGACTGGGCTTATTACTTACTTGTCATGACCATTGCAACGATATGTCTTTAGTCCGGATCATCCACTTGTTCCAAGAAATGTATAATTATTACATAAATCATCTGCATTGTAAGTATCCCATTCGGGAACTTCCAATTGTTGATCTCGTGGATATACCCAAAAATTATTGTCACGATCAGGATTACCGTGATAAAATTTGCCCGACATAGCTATCTAAAGAAACATGTGAAAGTTACTTGAAATAATAATTGCACAGAAAAAATTGGATTAGTCATTTTTCGGAAGATTGTTTCACGCAAATATTGTCTTCGGCGAACGCTTGAGATGCGTAACACTTTTAGGATCATTTCCTTTTGACTTTTTACTAGATAATTTACGTGAATAGTGAACAGAAAAAAGCTTTCGCTGAAAAAAGTCCTCATTGATACCTATATTCCTGATAAGTAAGAACACCAATAGGTTAGCACAAACTTCAAAAGATTAGTTTTTTTCGTTGAGTTTCGACTCAGATATCAAGTTTTCATATTTACTCTGGAAGAGATGTTTTTTCACTTAAATAACAGAAAACAGCTGTATCTTCGAAGCTTCATGTTTCAGCAAAACTCAATGGAACAAAAAATTCTATAAAGATTTTCCTACTTTTATAAATTTCTACTTATAAGCGATATGTGAGTTCCCAATCTTGTAATTAGGTGAAGAACCACAGTAACATGATCCATGAAAACAAACTGAATCCTTAGCATACACTGTACGACAAGTATTAGTTAACGACCATTAAATTTTTCTATCGGCAAAAAGTGAAATGAACCAAGAGGATTCATTTTTCTCTGATTTCTATTTACTTCTTCAATAGAATTCATGTGCTCATCAGAGACAACACTTGCTAGCATAAAAAATAAAACAGAAATGAATACAAAAACGAAAAAAGTCTAGAAAGTTTGTGTCAGCATTGAATACCTGCACAAGAAACGATGAAATTGCAAATGTAATTGTTTTTACGTCCTTACTCTCTAAGTATACTTCTTTCTAATTCTTCAGTGAAATTTTCAAGTGTACCATACCATACACTACGTTTTGACTGGGGCAAAATCCACATAAAGTAAATGTAACAACGAAAGAGAAAAATAAATTTCGGCATCCTAATGCCCAGTGAGAAAAAGAAAAAGGAAACCTAAAAGAGTACTTATTTTATTTTGCTGCGAAAGAAAGAGAGTGTAGCAACGAAAAAAAAACATAATGTTGTGTCAACAATGCCTGGTGCAAGAAAGAAAAAGAAAAGCAAGAAAGTAGAAGTTTTTTTTTGTTCTGGATATTTTCATTCGTTACTTTTTACCGACCAGCACATATGTCTTGTACCAATCAGAGAATGCAAATGCTCGGATAAACATACATGTATATTGCTCAGGTGAAGAAAATATTATTGCGAATCGTCCTCTTTCATCTTTTAGTTCGATGAACAGCGTTATCAAAGTGAGTGAATAGTTCCGGATGAAAAGTGAGCAGTTTAGATTATTTCCGTCATCAAAATGCTCACACTTCTAATATAATAGGTTCCGCCCTGAAGTGGACAGAGACTCTTCCGCAAAAAATGGAGCATATTTACTTGTCTTCTTGATTATTATGCTTATGTTTGTAGTATAAAAGCACGTGAAGTTTTTCGCAGACACTTCACTTTCCAAAATAGTAGAAATCATCTTTCTTTAGTCTGTGATGAGATGAGAACACAAGCAATATAATGAGAAATATGTGTGTACGTCTCTGACGACAGATCATAATGGTACATTTTTCTGTTATATTCATGAAAGAGAAAAATTATATTGCCGAGCTACATGATATTATTACTGCTATGCAAAGCAAACTTAAATTTGATTCTATCATCTTCGACCGATATGGCATGATGCAAAACGCTGTTCGTCAGATTAGTAATGAATTCATTCGTACAATCGATAGGGAGTGATTTGCAGACCGGTAGAATATAACTATTCGAACAAGTCAATTTTTATTCTAGCTAAATATAAAAACATGATATTTTAATAGTTTGATTGGTAGTTTTATAAAAATTTAATTCAGCTAAAAAACCCAGCAATCGATTATCTTTGGTTTTTTTTGTATGAGTTCACATGTTTTACTTCGTGATTTTGGTCTCATTCCAGTATATTCAATGCAACTGTCGTCAATAAGATGAATGAGAACAGAACGCAAAAAAATAATAATGAAACAATAGATAGGGGACACCCGGGATTGAACCAGGGACCTCTCGATCTGCAGTCGAATGCTCTACCACTGAGCTATATCCCCATGCCAACAATGTGCAGCTTCTCAATTGAGTTTTCGCTCAAAATAACAATCACAATTTTGTGTTTCTATCATAAACTGCGTCTGAATATACATAAAAAGAGACTTATTAACTACCGTTGCAATTGTTTAGAATTCAAACCATGTTCAGATGCGTGTGAAAAAATTTCATCAGCTTCACATTTACCTATATTGAAGTATACACTGCTCCAACAGTCGTTAAGACAATTTGTTCTGGTAGATACTATTAACTGAAATAGCGTTGAACTTTTTTTAGACTTATGAAATTCTGAAACATGTCTGGCTGTACATTAGCAACGTTGTAAATACATGATTAGATAACAAAGACAAAACATAAGACCTTATGGAGTTTGTAGCAATGGCTGATAAAAATTAATTATTCTGATCTTTTAGTTTATTAACGCCTATTAATTCCAATTTTATAACTACTCTGACTGAACTACATTATTATTAAATCATTCAACGTGCTACCGATCTGACTTCAAAAGCAAAATTTATTTTCTGACATTCATCATGTTCAGCACAAGATATAACATTCTTCTAAGCTTATTACTAACTGATTATCTAAGAAAAAGAAAAATGTGTTGAATATTGTATGACTTCTCAGTGTATATGTACGATTTCTAATTGCTTCTTCGCTTGCTGAAATATTACCTCAGTCGCTTAAGGTAATAATTCAGGACATTTGCCAAGTTATTTGAAGCCCTTATTTGAAACACATTCAAACGCCATTTCTATCATAAACTGCGTCTAGATGTAGAAAGTCTTCCATTGGAGAGAATATGGCTATGAGTATGAGTGTGGGTGTCAGTGCAGGCATGAATGTGGATGGTTATTTGGTTTAGATCCACACCAATATCTACCCATTCAGTCACCGGTCAAGATAACTCTTCTTAAAAAACCAATTGAAACATAAACATCCTCTTGAACCGTTCATACACGCAGATGCTTGTCTTTCGCACAACACCTTTATCTTGCTATATTTATCCAGGTCAAGAAGGTACGATCGGAAACGATCAAATTTGCCGAATTCCTGCGGTCAAATCCAAAATCGGTTTTTATCTCCATTTCTGAGAGGCTTCTATCATTTCATACACTCGAAAACGATGCGCAAATTTAGTTCGTGCCCCCACATCCTGGATAACCTAGTTTCTCATACATTGTTCTCTTTCAAATCTCTTGGGAGTGCAAAAATAAGCACTTCCCGAAACAAGCCAAGAGTCTTCTGCACAAACTAAGGATCATGGCGAGCTCTTATATGTATATAGTATGGCTGTAGTGTAAATAAATCATTGTTTTCTGTATCAGATCCATGTGAAAAATTGAGCAGATGCTGCTCAAAACTGAACGAATACTGCGGGAATTTCAGTCGATCCTAAGAGGAATAGAACGAATCCTGCAGGAAACATGCTGGAAAAGTCAGTGGGCTACGACCGAAGTCAACTATCTGGATGTTGATATTTTTGATTAATACGATGTTCAATAATTAATAATATAATTGCTGATTATAAATGTTCATTAAATCAATAAATTTATTTATAGTTGGTGCGTTTCCTTCATCATCATTTGATAACGCATTATTTGTGAAACAAGTTACCGTAAAATATTTGAACTGAAAGACAAGATTAATTACAATGTTGAAGTAAAGCAAGACTTTAAATCGATAATATCGAACGTTGAATACCATCATCTTTTTTATGTATTAGAACTGACATGATTTCATATTGACATATCTTCTTATTCAAAGTTGATCAATATATTTTCAATGAAAATCAACAAATAAGATGAGTAAAAACGAATTTCTTCCTGAAGAAAAATAAATATCGGCTTTGATATTAATCATAAATTTCATTAATACATGAAATATAACATCGTTTAGACAAAGTCATCACGGAGTGAATTCAAAATAGCGTAACAATTGTGTTATTTATTCTACAGTAATCGTATATGTTCTCAAAGAGAAACAGTGCATATTGTCTACTGCAATTGATTCATTTTTTTTTAGTTATGTAATACAAGTAAGAGATATCGCTTTCTTTTCAATATAAAGGAAAATCTTGTTTTTTTATCAACCATAGTACAAAACAAAAAATTGATAGGAAGAGCAATGATAGAAATAATAAAACGAAAGAGCTCTGCCAGCAAGTTTTGTATTGATTTATTTTAAAGAACCGGATTCATTGTCTTGAATTCGATGAGCATATTTTTAATCTTGTATATAATTAATGATGCTTTCAAAACTGAATCGAAACTTTTTCCACGTCATGCACACATACCATATGCTGCATATCAATGCATGATATAATACGTAATGAAAAGGAAAAACAAGATTATTCTGTTCGATTTCATTTGAAGATTAGAATCCGCAAGTTGAAATCAATCTATCCGTGAGGGTGTGAGTGAGTGTGGCTTATCTTTTGTTTCAATTTCCATAACTCATTTCCATTCACATTCATATCCGCACTAATTTGAAGTAGATTGAAGATTAAGAAATAATAAGAAAAAAGAATTAAAGAATAACTGAGGAGAGACTGAAAGAGGCGTGACAAACGAGGTGAACAAAATAAGAGAAACTGAAAAATACTATCATGTGATTAGAGAAAGACCTGTGAAAAGAGACTTATATCTCGAAAACAGAAAAAAAAGATAATGATCAAAGAATATGAAGCTACTATCTTTCAGAACTTCAACTTATCAACAAACGATATACACATACAAAATTTTAATGTTAGACATACATATAACTGAATAACTTTCCTTCCTTTTCTTTTTCGAACCGGAACATGAAAATGTCACATGTACGTATGAGGAAAAAAGAGGACTTGGTCCAAAGGATTATTTCACTTTTATTTCTCTATAAAATTCAGCAAAAAAGAACACAATGAAACGAAAATGTGACGAAGGTTATCAATATCAAATGATATTGATTTCTGGCAGCTGCAGATATCAGTCCTTTCGTCTTCAAAAAATTTTTCACTAATGGTGTCCAAATGGCATAACCTTGTGCGTTCATATGCAGATCATCCGGACCGAAGAGTTCCGGACGTGGTTTATTGTCAGGTGTGAGCATTAGGCTGAATACGTCGATATAATCTACATTGGTTAAACTTTGAATATTCTCTCGAATGCGATTGTTGGTCTCGTTCATTATGGCTAGTTTATCTACTCGACTTGGACTTGGTTTGATCGAAATATAGGCTATGGGTAGCGATGGATAGAAACGTCGAACAGTGAGAATAAACTGTTGAAAGTACGAGAAAACGGATGATGAATTTGCGCCACCAGCAACATCATTTTCACCAGCATAGACAATCAATGCGCGCGGCTCCAATGGTAGAACAACACGCTTGAATTGTTGCCAGCATTCTTTCAGAGACGAGCCGCCGAAGCCACGATTGATGACTCCACTAGGAACGTCGGCAAAATCTTGCGAGAATGTCGACCATAAGCGAAATGACGAGCTGCCGAAGAAGACAACGGTTTCTCGTTTTTGCTGCATCAGCAATTGATCAAATAGAAGAAGCTCTGGCTCATAGAGTGTATTGGTGAGCTTTTCGAAGGATCCTTCATCATT